TAAGTTAATTTAAAAGTCTTCATTAATAATATTTTGCCTATATTTAAATGTAGTTTTAATAAACGCCGTTAACAATCTCCAGTTGGGGCCATTCAGTAACCGTATGGTTTCATTGACATCGAGCGCGGGTTTACCGAAGTACAGCAATCTATGTTCTTTAAAAATTGGGCATTCACCTACTAAGTGTATAACATCGCCTTTCAATTTAAGGTTGCATATCGTGCACAGCGTGTCTAGACTTTCATGCGGTACGTAGCACAATCGTAGGAGCTCGCCGCGGGTTTTGAAGATTGTCCTTATTGTTTCTAGGTCATATTGCTCGTGAAAGTAATTATTGACACCTAGATCATAATTCAACTTACTATATGCATCTCTCGATATACTGTTTCTTGCCGTTTCTACAAAATTTCTTCGTTCTTCAATACTTAGTTTCGTTATTATATTTTTTTGCCACATTTTCCAGTTTTCATTAATACTCAAATCATTAGTTATATTTAAGTACATTAATTATTATATCTTATTAAAAGACGTTTTGACATAAATATTTAATTAAAACAATTGCTACTGTTGTGATTACTATAACCAAATAGCTTTTATTAATAAAAAACAGTATTTATTGTAACACAAACTTTTATTATTTTTAATACAACTTTAGAAACACTAACTAATTGACTGACTGATCAACTGACTGAAAAAATCTGAATAAATATTTTTAAATAAAATATTTTTAAATATCAGAGAATCTGACAATTTTAGCCTACTTTGTTGATTCTCACCACACAGCCCCTTCTTGAATTTGACGGCTGCATCACGACAAATTCTATCCGTATTACACATTATTACTACCTCATAAGCCTCAATGGAAAACGCACTATTCTACCCACTCGAGTCACCTTCGGTGCTATCTGCTTGTTACTGTCATCATCTAACACCTTGACACTATCTTGGCAACAACCTTCATCAGCTTCATTTGCAAAATATGCTGGTTTCACTCGATCCATGCTGACGTTCATCGTGCGTCCTCTTGCTCTTATTGTTAGAGTTTTCTCACCACGACATAAAATTTCATATGGGCCCTCATACGGCTGTTTCAGTGGTGGTCGCACAGCGTCATCACGTAAGAATACGTGCGTACTGCTTTTCAAATCTTTAAATACGAATGGCTTTTCCGTCATATGACGCGATGTTTGTAATGGCTTCAGTTCGCTCATAGTTTCCCTTAACTTCTTAACAAACTCTGTTTGCGATACTTGCTTCAAATCACCATCAAACACCTCTCCTGGTAAACGTATATTTACCCCATAAATTAATTCCGACGGTGTCGCTTGCAAATCTTCCTTAAATGCCGCTCTTAATCCCATTACAACAATTGGCAAGGCCCTTGTCCATTCAACACTTGATTTACACTTCAGTGCAGACTTTAGCGTGCGATGAAAACGTTCGACAAGTCCATTTGACTGTGGATGATATGCTGTAGTTCGATGCCTTTCACACCCCAAAATTTTGGCTAGCTCATCGAAAAGCTTGGATTCAAATTGTCGCCCTTGGTCTGTCGTAATCCTTTTCGGCACACCATAATGCGCTATCCAATCCTTAATTAAAGCCTCAGCCACACATTCTGCCGTAATCTCCGCCAATGGTACCACCACCGGCCACCTTGAAAACCGGTCAATGCATGTCAGGCAATACCGCATACCATTACTATAGGGCAAAGGTCCCACGATATCAATATGAACATGCTCAAAACGTTGATCAGGAGCGTTGAAATCCTGCAACACAGTCCTGTTGTGCCGCTGGATTTTTGACTTTTGGCATGCCATGCATGTTTTCACCATTTGACTTATTTCAGTCTTCATTTTAGGCCAACAAAAACGAGAACTTATTAGTTTTATAGTTGCTTTTCTACCAGGATGAGCTAAATTGTGTAACATTTCGAACACTTGCACTCGGAAGGACTTTGTAATAAACGGTCTCGGTTTCTTTCCGGATACATCACAATACACAGAAACACCCTCTGTAATTAACTCTACCAACTTGAGCTCCAGAGATGACGCTGTACAGTTTCTTATCAACTCGTTCATCTCTTGGTCAACTTTCTGAGCTTCTGCCAACTTATCATAGTCTAGTGATCGTCTAACTCCAGCCACCACACTTTCGACTCGAGATAAAGCATCTGCGACCGTATTTTTGCTGCCTGCTATATGCTGAATATCTGTTGTCAGCTGCCCGATAAAATCTAAATGGCGTAACTGGCGTTCTGATGCTTTTTCAGATCTTTGTAAGAAAGCAAATGTAATCGGTTTATGATCCGTTAGCACAGTGCAATTCCTGCCCTCAATCATGTACCTGAAATACTTGGCCGCCATATATATAGCAAGTAGCTCGCGGTCATAAGTACTATATCTTTTTTGAGTCTCTGTCAGCCTTTTGGAATAGAATCCCAGCGGTTGCATCTGTCCATCTATAAGCTGTTGCAACACTGCTCCTACTGCAACATTGCTAGCATCCACATTTAGCACCAGTTTCGCATTCGGAGCCGGGTGTGCTAGCATTGCAGCATTCGCCAGATTATTCTTACACACTTCAAATATTTTCTCGGCCTCTGCTGTCCAATCAATCAGAGATCTATCATTTTTCTTATTTCCTTTTAATAGCGCGTGCAGGATGCCATGATTCTTTGCAGCATTCGGGAGGAAACGCCTGTAAAAATTAATTGAAGCAATGAACCTTCTTAACTCTCGTACTTCCTTCGGTTTTTTAAAATTTCTTATCGCTTCTACCTTTTCAGCTATAGGTCTAATTCCATCCCCATTTATCACATGACCCAGGAAGGTAACTTCTTTCATAAAAAAACACACACTTTCCCAGATTGATTCTCAGACCATGATCACTTAATCGTTTGAACACTTCTCTTAAATGTATTTCGTGTTCCTTTTCATCAGCTGATGCTATACATATATCATCTATGTACGTTACCACATAACTCAGATTCTTTAGAACATCATTCATAAACCTTTGGAAAGTTTGCGCAGCATTGCATAAACCAAAAGTCATCATGTTAAACTCATATAAGCCGAACGGGGTTATTATCGCCGTTTTAGGTCGATCCTCCTCAGCAATCGGAATTTGATTGTAGGCCTTTTCCAAGTCAATGGTTGAGAAAATTTTCTTATTGTACAATATGCGAGTAAAATCATGTATATGAGGTATTGGATACCGGTCTGGTAGTGTTATTGAATTAAGCTTCCTATAGTCACCACACGGTCTCCACTTACCATCCTTTTTCGCCACTAAATGCAACGGACTTGCCCAATTGCTGTTACTTGGTCTACAAATACCTTGTTTCGTCATAAATTCAAATTCCTTTCTCGCAATTTCAAATTTTTCAGGATTTAACCGCCGAGGTTTTGCATACACTGGCTGTCCCTTGGTAACAATTTGATGCTCTACTAGCGTAACCTTTGTGGCCACCTTATTACTAGTAGCCGGTTCCGTTATCTCTTTATAATCCCGCAGAATGTTATGTACCGGGCTAGTCGCATCAATTGTGCTTAGCTTCACGCAGTGCATCTCTCTCTTCGAACCCATTACCTGGAGGCCTGTAATGCCATCTAAAATTCTCCTGTTCTTCAGGTCAACTATCAAACCAAAATTATTCAAAAAATCCGCCCCTATTATTGGGTGATTTACCTTCGCCACTAGGAACTCCCACAGGAACTGTCTGCGCAACCCCAAATTGACTTGCACTAATTTCGTTCCATACGTGCTAATTTTCGCTCCGTTTGCTGCGTATAAATAATATTGCGTGGCTTCATTTTCAGGCTGCATTCTCTTTGGCAAAATTGAAACTTCCGCGCCTGTGTCTATTAGATAATTTATACCTGTTTTTTTATCTTTGAAGAACAAACGGCATGCTTTACCCTCTGCCACTTCACTCGCCGTCAGACGTGAAGTGGTGTTTAGTTTTCCGCTGAGTTTTGCGGTGGTTTGTACTGGCAAGGCTGAACACATTTTGTGGACCTCTCCTTGAACCGCCGATGATAAAAACAGATATTTCCTCTTCTAGCACTTGATGATCGCCCTTTTCCACGATCTCTGTCATTGCTTCTTCCTCTTTTGCCCAACTGAATGACCAAATTATTTATCATGACTTTCAACTCGTCAATTTCCTTCCTCATCTCCTTCGGTTCATTCCTTTGTACTACACAAACCGTTTCTGTTTCCTGTACCTCAAATACCTTATCAGCCACTTTGGCCCACTGTGCAGAATCACCTTCCACTGCAGCTACGATTGTTCTAACTCCCACTGGCAGTCGCTGTAACCACAATGACTTTAGTACATCATCATTCATTGAATTGCCGGCCATTTCCTTCATTTTCTTCAGCAATTGAGTTGGTTTCATGTCTCCTAGCTCCAATTCTGTCAGCAACTTACGCAGCCTTTTGTGCTCCGATTCTGTGAATTCATATATTAACCGTTTCTTCAACGTCTCATATTTCAACACCCTCGGTGGATCTCGAATCACATCAACTATGCACTCCAGATATTTCGGCTCTAAACTTGCTACTACATGGTCGAACATTGTATCATCTTTCGTTATTCCCGCATTCCTGAACTGTGCTTCCATTTGCAGAAAAAAAAGGTCCGGATGCTCTCTTGAAAACATCATCGGCTTAACTGAAACCCGGTATACCTCCTTGTCAGTGCGACTTTCTCCTTCTGCCGGAAAAAAATCTTCTTCCTCACGGTTAGTCATCTTGCTTGCTAATGTTGGGCTTGATAATAACTTACAACTCCTTTTTGTGTCGGGGTCACCAATGTTGTGATTACAATAACCAAATAGCTTTTATTAATAAAAAACAGTATTTATTGCAACACAAACTTTTATTATT